ACACTGTCACCCATGGGCTGGCCAGAGGTGCCCTGGGAACCATGGGGTGCCTGTGGCCACCTCTCAGATGCAGAGAGCAGTGAGTGGGCTGCGGTTGCCGCTGCAGGACTTGGGAGCAGCACGTGGGGAGTGGGGCGCGCGGGGCCCTCCTCTCCCAGGAGCTCCATCCAGGTGCAGGCCCTGCGGTGCTCTGAGTTTCTGAGGCCTGCAGGGTCTGTGTGTTCCAGGCTCATCTTCCCGGCTGGCTAGGCACTGCCCACTGGGGCCGGTCACACACAAACAGGGCCCTGGCCCTGCCTTCCAGCTCAGAAGCACCCAGGCAGGGGACGGGGTGGGGTGGGGACCCGGGCAGGGGACGGCGTGGGTTTCTTTCTGCCAGGAAAGGAGGACTTGGCTTCTCCACGTGGGGTGGGACAGAGTGAGTGGCCATGTGGAGCTGCAGCTTGTCTGCTCCTGTGGGTTTCACAGGCAGTGGGGGGACATACTGGCTGCCAGGTACAGCCTCGGGGCTGCCAGCCAGACAGGATCCAGCAGTGCCCATGGCCAGCCCCAGCTACTGTCGCTCCAGAGGCTTGCCCTGTGACCCCGGGGCCTTGGGGTCATGCCCCCTCAAGGCTAAGGTGCCTGGCAGGGTAGGGCCCTTGGGGTGGGCAGACAGACCTGGGCATCTGTGGTCCCTGAACTCAGGTCTGATACTGACAGAGACGTGGGTGCCGCACAAACTCTCATCCACACAGTGCCCGTGCTCAGGCAGTCTGCTGTGCCTGATTGCGTGTGGAGAGCTGTGGGGTCGCTGGCCTGTGTCCAGGCCCGGCTGGGCCCTGGGCTGATGGTTGGGTGGGAGTTGGGTGAGGGGCCTGGAGCCTCTTTGGGACCCACCAGGGCCCCCATCCCCCTGCCGCCCTTGTCCTTGAGGGGCCGCTGTCCCCTCTGACCTAGGGTGTACAGCTGCTTCCTGTGTGACCAGGAGGAGCCCCTGCCCTCTTGGCTGATGGGTTTTGAGGGCTACCAAGCACAGCTGTTTTGCATCCTCTGGGGACCCTACTCCCCTCTCACGTCTCAAAGAGCCGGCCTCTGGGACCACAGAGCCGCCCCGGCCGTGAGAGGCTGCTGACGTGGTGTTCAGTGGGCCAGCACTCAGGGGCTTTGGTGCATGTAGGCAGCTGAGGCCTGGGTCGGGGGCACTGCGCCTGGGCCCCTCTGCTCACCTTGGGCAGGCGACCCAGGTGGAGCTCAGGCCTGAGGTCTGTGCTGGGCCGTGGGTCCCCTTTCGATCCCCCTTGGCTCTGGACCCCAAGCCCCTCCTCGTTGACTGTTCCTTGGACCCACCCGCAGGCCCCCCCAGGATGGCGGACAAGGTGGTCCCACGGCAGGTGGCCCGGCTGGGCCGCACCGTGCGGCTGCAGTGCCCTGTGGAGGGGGATCCACCACCATTGACCATGTGGACCAAGGACGGCCGCACCATCCACAGCGGCTGGAGCCGCTTTCGCGTGCTCCCCCAGGGGCTGAAGGTGAAGCAGGTGGAGCGGGAGGATGCCGGCGTGTACGTGTGCAAGGCCACCAACGGCTTTGGCAGCCTGAGCGTCAACTACACCCTTGTCGTGCTGGGTTAGTCGCTGCTGCGGTCAGAGATCATGGGCTGGGTTGGAGCCAGGCAGGGGCATGCAGGAGGGCGGACGGGGGCACGCCTGGGGCCTGAGAGTCAGCCAGCCCCGGGCAGAAAGCCTTCCTTCGGCGCCCTGCCCTCCCTCTGCTGACTGCACCTCTGCCACCATCCCCCAGGCTGGGCTCCGTTCCTGTCCCCATCAGGCTCCAGCCTCTGGGCCTTCCTCCCGGCGGAGGGCGGAGGGCGGCGGGCGGAGGGCGGCGGGCGGCGGGCGGCAGGCGGAGGGCAGCGACCGGGAGCCGCAGGCCGTGGTCCCACAGAAGGGCTGGGGCCCGAGGCCTTGGCAGGGTGTGCCGGCCGTCGGCTGTGACTTTGAGGCTCAGGTTTCGGAGTTCAGAGGAGCCGCGGGGATGCCTGGCCTTTCTGTTCTCTTCTGCGCCTGGGGCCTGGGTGCGGGGCTTGGACAGGTGTCCAGAGACACGCCCTCCATACCTAGGGACCGGGCACCCCGCCTGCTCTGCTGGGCTCCTGGGTGTGGGGCCCTCCGGTGGAGCTCCTGGAGCTGGGCTGGCCCGTTTCTGAACACAGGAGGCTGGCCCAGGCCCCGGCAGGGTCTGGGGGTGCGGCCTGAGACAGCCTGGTCCTGGGCTCAGTGGAGGAGCGGCTGTCACAGGGTGGATGGAGGGGACATTCCACAGCACGCCCTGCTCCTCCAGATTGTGTGGAATGGGAAAACTGTGGCTGTCCCCCCACCCCCACCCCACAGTCCTTTCAAAGGCGACGATGACCGAGAGGTATGAGAGTCTCGTCTGTTCACCAGCCCTCGGCCCCTTGATGTAGGGTAGGGTTACTGCAGCTGCTGGCTGGGCCCGGCTCCCTCCTCCCCGGGGCCTGCAGACCCCCCGGAGCCAGAGTGGGGGCCAGCCCTCCAGGCCCACCCGTACCCGTCAGGATCACCTGCGCCTAGTGTGGGCCAGCGGCCCTTGCCCAGCTGTCCCTGGGATTCTGGGCTGTGGGTGTGTGGTGCAGCCCCCTGCCTGGGTGTCCAGGACTGTCCTGGCTGGGGCTGGGGGCACTAGAGGCCATGGGAGAGTTGGGGGTGCTCCTCAGGGCCCCCCTCACCTGCCCTCCCTGTGCACCTCCATTTCTCTGCAGATGACGTTAGCCCAGGGAAGGAGAGCCTGGGCCCTGACAGCTCCTCTGGGGGTCAAGAGGACCCCGCCAGCCAGCAGTGGGGTGAGCAGGGGACCGCCGTCTGCCAGGGTGGGGGGTGTCTGTCCTGGCCCCTCGGCCGCTTCCCCATCCTCTGACCTCCATGCCACCCTACCCCACAGCACGACCACGCTTCACACAGCCCTCCAAGATGAGGCGCCGGGTGATTGCACGGCCTGTGGGCAGCTCCGTGCGGCTCAAGTGCGTGGCCAGTGGGCACCCTCGGCCCGACATCACGTGGATGAAGGACGACCAGGCCTTGACGCGCCCAGAGGCCGCCGAGCCCAGGAAGAAGAAGTGGACGCTGAGCCTGAAGAACCTGCGGCCGGAGGACAGCGGCAAATACACCTGTCGTGTGTCGAACCGCGCGGGCGCCATCAACGCCACCTACAAGGTGGATGTGATCCGTGAGTGTGGCCTGGGGCACTGGCGGGCCAGGGATGCTGGTGGGGTCTGGGGGCTGGTGATCTGGGAGCTGGTGGACCAGGGATGCTGGTGGGGTCTGGGGACTGGTGGGCTGGGGGTGCTGGTGGGGTCTGGGGGCTGGTGATCTGGGGGCGCTGGTGGGCTGGGGGTGCTGGTGGGCTGGGGGTGCTAGCAGGTAGAGTTTGGCGGGGCCCAGGAGCCATGCCCACGTGCCGTGTTCCCACAGAGCGGACCCGCTCCAAGCCCGTGCTCACAGGCACGCACCCCGTGAATACGACGGTGGACTTCGGGGGGACTACGTCCTTCCAGTGCAAGGTGCGCAGCGACGTGAAGCCGGTGATCCAGTGGCTGAAGCGTGTGGAGTACGGTGCCGAGGGCCGCCACAACTCCACCATTGATGTGGGTGGCCAGAAGTTCGTGGTGCTGCCCACAGGCGACGTGTGGTCGCGGCCTGATGGCTCCTACCTCAATAAACTGCTCATCACCCGCGCCCGCCAGGACGATGCGGGCATGTACATCTGCCTGGGCGCCAACACCATGGGCTACAGCTTCCGCAGCGCCTTCCTCACTGTGCTGCCAGGTGCGCGGCCGCCACGCCACGCCATGCTGGTGCCCGAACCTGCCCCCTGGGCCCCGCGTCCCACCCACCGGGCGGGACCCCAGCCTTCCCTCCTGGGCTCTACAGGCCAGGTCATCTGCCAAGGGAGGGCAGCCCAGGGGTGCCGTCTCCACAGCCCCCGGGATGGGTCTGGGGTACTCTCCTGGTCTTTGTGCTGGCGTTCCCCTCGCCACCTCCTTTCCTCTCACTCTTACAGACCCAAAACCACCAGGGCCACCTGTGGCCTCCTCGTCCTCGGCCACTAGCCTGCCATGGCCCGTGGTCATCGGCATCCCGGCCGGCGCCGTCTTCATCCTGGGCACCGTGCTCCTGTGGCTTTGCCAGGCCAAGAAGAAGCCATGCACCCCCACTCCTGCCCCTCCCGTGCCTGGGCACCGCCAGCCAGGGACAGCCCGTGACCGCAGTGGAGACAAGGACCTTCCCACGTTGGCCGCCCTCAGCGCTGGCCCTGGTGTGGGGCTGTGTGAGGAGCATGGGTCTCCGGCAGCCCCCCAGCACTTGCTGGGCCCAGGCCCAGTTGCTGGCCCCAAGTTGTACCCCAAAGTCTACACAGACATCCACACACACACACACACACACTCACACACACACTCACACGTGGAGGGCAAGGTCCACCAGCACATCCACTATCAGTGCTAGATGGCACTGCCTCTGCGGTGGGCGCATGGGGCCAGCCAGACAGGCAGGCTGGGAGGATGGAGGACGGCGCTGCAGACGAAGGCAGACCCATGGTGAGGAGGAATGGCCAGCACCCCGGGCGCTCTGTGTGAGGCATAGCCCCTGGACACACACACACAGACACACACTGCCTGGATGCATGTATACACACACATGCGCACACACGCTGCCTGAACACAGGCACACGCAGACATGCTCCCGGAACGCATACGCATGTGTGCACATGCGCAGGCATGCTGCCTGGACACACAGATATGCTGCTCAAACGCATGCACATGCACACAGACATGCCAGAAGATACATGGACATGCTGCCTGAACACATCACACACATGCACAGATATGCTGCCTCGACACACACATGCATACATGTGCAGATATACTGCCTGGACACACACACACGCAGATATGCTGCCTGGACACACGCACACACATGCACAGATATGCTGCCTGGACACACGCACACACATGCACAGATATGCTGCCTGGACACACACACACAGAAATGCTGCCTTGACACACACACACACATGCGCAGACAGGCCGCCTGGACACACACAGGCAGTTATGCTGTCCGGACACACGCACACATGCAGATACGCTGTCCGGACACGCACGTGTGCAGTTATGCTGCCTGGACACGCACACACGCGCAGATATGCTGCCTGGACACGAGCAGATATGCTGTCCGGACACGCACACACTTGTGCAGATACGCTGCCTGGACGCATGCAGACTGAGGTGCTTTTCGGAGGGTGTGCTGCGAGGCCTGCAGTGCGTGTGCAGTGAGGCTCATAGTTGATGAAGGACTCTTCCTGCTCCACCGTCACTCCCCCACCCCTGCCTGCCTCTGCCCTCGCCTGGCCTTCTCGGCTATTTTTGCCACCTGTCTTGGGTGTCCAGGAGTCCCCTACTGCTGTAGGCTGGGGCTGGGGACACAGCAGCCCCAAGCCTGAGAGGCTGGAGCCCATGGCACTCCCACCGCATTCTCCCCCTGCCAGCGAGAAGAAGCCTTGGTATTTATATTTAAGAAATGAAGATAATATTAATAATGATGGAGGGAGGGCTGGGTTGCAGGGACTGTGGTCTCTTCTGGGGCCCGGGACCCGCCTGGTCTTTCAGCCACGCTGATGCCTGCACCCCGTCCAGGCCAGGCACCACCCCCCACCCCACTGTCGGGGTGGCCCCAGATCTCTGTAATTTTATGTAGAGTTTGAGCTGAAGCCCCGTATATTTAATTTATTTTGTTAAACATGAAAGTGCATCCTTTCTCTCCAGGCTGGTGTTTCTGCCCGTGTCTGTGTGTGCATGTGCATGCTCGTGTGTGCTCACATCTGTGCTTGTGTGTCAGGCCTGGTCTCTAGAACCAGCAGCCCAGCCCTCCTGGAGTCCCCTTGCTGGGCCGGAGCCACAGGGGCCGAGACCTGAGGGTCTCCAGGTCTGTCATCAGCACCTCCCGGCAGTAGAGTTTGGGTCTACTGGGCTTCGGGCGGTGATGGGTGTGAGCACTCACCATGAGTACCCACGTGCCTGGCCAGGCCAGCGTCCTGCACCCCTGTCGAATTCGCACCCTCTGTGTCCTGGGGCTGGCCCCTGTGGCCCTCAGTGCAGGGCCTGGTCACTTCTCGGCCGCTCTGCAGGCTTTGGTGGGTGGCCCTACGGGAAGCAGCAGACCTGCCTCGGAACTGGGGGTAGGGCCAGGCTCAGGTCACCTCTGACCTCAGGGCTCCCTCCAAATGCCCTCCCTGCCACCCTGCAGTGCTGTGACGGTGGCCGCCCCCGTCTTGCCCAGTCAGCAGGAGGGGTTGGGGCTGCCAGCTCCACCCGGGGCCCTTGCCTGCCCGGGGGTTCCATTAGCCTCGTAAGAAAAGGCACCGAGGTCTCTCGTGCATTCAGCAAAGCGTGAGGCCCGTGGCGTTCCCGGACCCTGGCCTTGCTGGCATGCAGGGTACTTCCTGACCCGCGCTGGTTCTGAGAGCTTTTCCCTGGAGGAAGCTCACCCTGCCTGGCTTCAAAGATGACAGGTGGGCTCTGGGGAGAGGTGTCAGGGACCTCTCCCCAGCTGGGGCTTCTGAGGACCCCATGGCCTTCAAGATGTCCCCTTTCTGTCCTCTGTCCTCCCCAGGGTAGACCCTACTCCTCTCCCCTGAGGGAAGTCCTGACTCCGTGGGTGGTGACAGCTTCAGGCGTGGCCCTGGTGAGGGCTGCGTGTGGCTGGTGGGTGCTGTGGGAGGCCTGGCCATCCTGACTGGGGGGCAGTGGGGGCTCCAGGCGGCCCACAGCTGGCAGCCAAACAGATGTTCCCCAGACAGGGCAGGCTGCAGGCCGACGTCTGGTCGGGTTTCAGTCTGGAGTAGGGGAGGGTGGAAGGGAGACCTCAGGCATCTGGCCACCTTGGACAGCAGGAAGGCCTCAGGCAGCAGGTCATGGGGTCGCAGAGGACAGGCTGCCACTCCCCAGGAAGTGGGCAGAGGGATGGGCAGTCTGAGAGGGCTGTCCCCCAGAGCCTCTGAAGGAGACACTGGGACCGCAGACCCCACGCCTGCACCCGGCCTGCTCTGAGGTCCAGGCCCCACTCAGGGCCACCCTCGACTTGTGGTCCAGCCCATCTCACACCTGCCCACGGGAGGTGCTGACTGGTGCTGTGTGGCCCTTGACGGACAGGATAGGCCTGGCACAGCCCAGCCTCTGGGTCCTGGGCTCTGGACTTTGTCACACCGTGGCCATGTTGGATGCCAGGCTGGGCGGGGGGGCCCCAAGGAGTTAGGACAGACCCATCTCCTGTCCATGGGGCCCCGGCCACCCCCAGGCAAATGGCCTGGAGCTCAGACCCCTCAGTCTTTCCCTAGCCTTCCTCAGGGGCTGCCTAGAGCCCCTGCTTTCTCCCCTGCGACCTCCAGACCCTTCCCCCTTGGCCGTCCAGTCCCGAGAGCCCTTACACTCATCCCCATGCCCCTCTGTTCCTGCGGTCTCCAGCCTGAGCCTACCGGGGCCCTGCCCTGAGGACGCCTGACCAGTGTTCCTGGCTGTCTCTTGCCTGGCCCTGCCCCATGGACTCCTGTGGCTGTGGCTCCTGCCCCCCCACCAGCCACACGGCCACCCCGATGCCGTTTCCCACATCTCCGTCACGGAAGCACACGTCCATGCCCTGCACCGGCCCCCTCGCATCTGCACCTCCACACTTCCAAGAACAAAATTGCATTCCCCTCCCCTCCGAGTGCAGGAGGACTGGGAGCACAGAGCCCCTGTGTGCTTCAAGGACTTGAGGCAGAGGCTCCCGGGGCGTGAGTGTGGCCAGCAGGACAGAGAGCAGGATGTGGTTCTGACAGTGGTCCACCCTGTCCAAGCACCTGAAAGATGGGGGGCCCTGCACTCCAGGTTCACTGGCCGGGAGGCTCAAAGGGCTGGGTGGGGCCTGTGGGAGGTGGGGGTGCCGTTCTGTGGGCCCCGTCTCACCTGTCCTGCACTGGGCACCTGCACACCATTGCACCATGGGGGCTCCAGGCCCAGGAAGAGACAGACACGTGTCGGGAGGCTCCTCGGGGGCCAGCAGGCTTCCGGGCAGTGCCCTTGCAGGGGTGGGGCAGGGGCATGGCGTCTGAGGGGCAGGGCGACCCAGGGGGTCCAGGGAGAAGGGAGGAGCCCAGAGTGGCAGCCATCTCCCCAGGGAGGGGCCACACCTGGGGCTTCCTGGCTCCTCCACCATCACCCTTCACATGGGCAAGACCAGGTCCCGCGCCTTTGGCCACCACAGGAAGGTCACGGGGCAGCCTCTGCTGCAGGGACGGGAACGGGGCTGGGTGCCCGTCCCCAGCTCCATCCTGGGCTCCTGGGGGTGCAGGTTGTGGGGGTGGGGGTTGCAGCCCAGGAGGCAGCAGAGGGGACCCAGCTGTGTCCTCAGGGCGGCCCCCAGGCCAGGCCCTTTGGGTAGGAGACGGTGGTGCCTGGGGGAGGCTCAGCATGGCGGGGCGGGGTGTGGGCACGGGTCCAGGCCCACAGTCCTCCCTGGCCCTACCCCGGTGGTGATAAGCTGCTTCCCTGTAAAGCCCGGCTAACTTGAAAGGGCTGCCCAGGCTCCGACACCCCCGGGTGTGACCCATCCCCGCCTGGCCCTCCTGGCTTCAAAGGGGTGCCCGCAAGCCGCCTGCAGCTGTCCCGGGGGTGCCTGCGCCCGCTGCCAGGGACAGGGTGGCAGCGTGAGGCAGAGATGGGGGTATGTGGGCAGCCCCACCCCATGGGCGTGTGGGTCAGAGGACCTGGCCAGAGATCACAGCCTTGTCCCCGGCCGGGGTTGGGGACCAGGGGACCGGGCTGGGAATGTGGGACGAGGGGCGCAGATAGAGGCACAGGCCAGGAAGAGGGGTGCAGGCTGCGTGCTTGGGGTGCAGGATGAGACTCTCTGCACAGCAGAGATATGGCCCTAGGACACAAGGCTCCAGGACGCAGGGGCCAGCCGAGCTACCCCGAGCCTCCCCGGGGTATCGCGTGGGCCCAGGACCTGCTGCGGGGCTGGGGTGGGCCAGGGGCCCCCCAGGATTTGAATATGGGAGCACCTCCTGGAGGCAGAGGCAGGGAGGAGGCAGAGGCAGGGAGGCCGCAGAGCCAGGTGTGTGGGGCTCTGGGCCCCTCGGGCTGGGCTGTGACATGGGGAGTAACCCCCACCCCCATGGCTGGAGCCGGCTTCTGGCAGAAGCTTCCAGATGTCCCAGGGGACAAGAGTGCTCAGTGAAGCCACGCTGGGTGAGGCGGGGCAGGAGGGCAGTGGGCGGGGCCTGGTGGTCTCGGGCTGTCTGTGCCCTGTGCTGGCCTCACAGTGTGCCTGGCCCAGGTGGCTGCCCGGGTTGGGTAAGATGGGGAAGGGGCTGTCCAGGGGGCTGGTGGGGCCTGGCGGGTCCTGGGGCTCAGCCACACCAGACTCAGGCCTGCGTTCCAGGGCCCTGGGTTGCCGACTAATTTGAGGCTTGCATTGCTGTGCCCGAGGAGAGAAGCTTGTACCTGAGAAGCACTGTCCCTCCCTGGGGGACCGCACTGGCCACCGTTGGCCTCCTCTGCTGGGCCTGTCTCTCCCTTGCCTCCTGCCTTGGGAGGAGCGTGACCAGCGAGGGTGGGCAGGTGGGCCTCCCTGGAAGGCCCCTGCCACTGTGCGGGCAGCTGCGTGCTGGGCCTGAGTGGGTGTGGCCAAGACTGGGGCTCCCTGTGGACTCCTGAAGCAGAGGCGGTCTCGGCCCCACGGGAGGGTTTCCCATTCCCAACTGAGCCCTGGGGCAGGAACCCAGGCGGGTCTAGGGTCTGGGCCCCCATCTGACCTCGTGACCCAGGCTGGCCTTGACACACTCGTGACCCAGGCTGGCCTTGACACACTTGGGGGTGGGGGTGCCACTCTGGTTCCTGATCGCGCCCGCCCTACACTGGTCACCTGGAAAGTCTGCTGCTCCCCTGGGGGGCACATGAGTGGTCCCCAATCTCCCCATGCCAACTGGCAAGCCCGTCCGCCCACAGAGCCCCCCTCGCGCCACACGGGCTGGCCAGGCAGCCTCCTTGTGACCTGTGCCCAGGCTGCAATCGGGCTGTTCCTCCTGGTAAGCCCCTTCCCCAGCCGCCTGGTCGCTGCCTGACCATGTGCGGCTCCTCTGCTGTCCCAACCCCATGAGCAGCTCTGTCCTCAAGCCCAGCTCCACCCGCTAGAGCCCAACCAGGGCAGAGAAGTCCGAATTCAAGTCCCCCAGGGTGCCCCAGCTCTCTTCAACCCTTGCCTAGGCTCCAAGCCCCCCAGACCTGGGTTCCTGGGCTCGTGGGCCTGTGCAGGGGCAGGGGCCGCCCACTCAGGCAGTTTGATTCAGTGACTGGGGAGAAGGGGGGTCGGTGGCCGCAGAATGGGGCTGGGGTCCCCTGGAGCAGCTGCCATGTTCTGAGGCTTCCTTGTCCCCATGGCAGAGTGCTGGGGGGCCGGGCTTGGCACACAGCACCCAACACGGTGGGGAGAGTGCTCATCCTGGGGTCAAAGGTGACCTCTCCAGCCCCCTCACCCTGAATCTCAGCCTGGGTCACAGCAGGGCCTTTGCCTAGGGGCCGAATCCAGGGGTCCTGCTGGGAGCATGAATCCTGGGCACAGTGGGACTGGGGCAATCGGCGTGGCTCCTGCAGCCTGAGAGATGGGGACCAGTGGGCGCCTAACGACATTCAGCCCTGCAGGACCCTGTGACAGACGCCAGGTCCCGCCTGTCTCCCCGTGCGCTGTGTGGACCGCAGCAGAAACTCCCCAGTGTCCAGCAGAAAG